TTTTCCACTTCAGATAAGTTCCACTAACTATGTTTCCTTTTCACAAAGTGCGCTTTTTCATTGTACCTACAAACTCACTGCCAAAATCATCCCTCCAATTGGTGCTCCTGACCGGCTGATCTACACGTGCCCGGGAAGAAGGCCTGTCAGAGGGTGCCCGAGGGTGGAGCAGTGAGGCGGGTGGCTCCCGCAGTCTGAGGGAGGTACAGAGCGCCCCACCTGCAGAGAGGCTGGGGCCAGCCTGCCGGAGCTCATTCCAGAGGGAATCACAGGCCGTGGGCTGTCGGGATCATCTGAGCGGACCATGCCAAGCCTCCCATTCAGGAAGACAGCCCACACCAGCCACTGGGGTGGGCACTGCAGGGAGAGACTGCCCCCACCTGAGCCTCTTCAGTGCCTCTAGAACATTCTGACACATGGAGTCAGACGGAGCCGAGTTCCCATGGTGCTGCAAAGTGGACTTGGGGGTGAAGTGTCACAAGACCCCTGGGTTGCTGTGCAGCCCACACCTCTAGGGATGACTGTGGTGAACGCGGAAGGTACTGGTCCCAGGCTCCTGAGAGACGCCAGCCCACGGGGGACATGTCCTGTGGGGGACACGTCCTGTGGGGGACTGTGCAGGGCTGGGAGCCTGAAGGATTCCACCTACCTGGCTCAGCCACCCCCACTCTGCCCAAAAGGCCAGGACGGCCTGAGGCTGTTCTGGGATCCAAGGGTGGTGACTGAGGCCTGGAACCTGGGTCAGAACACACCACTTTTTCTTCTGTTGCCAAAAGAAATGGGAGGTTCAGAGCAGTAATGCATGTCCAGGGCATCCGGGGGTTAGGGGGGAAGCTGCAGGCGTGGCATCTGGTTCACGGAAACGTCTCAGGCTACGCGCGGCGCCCTTCAGTTAGGGACAGCTGGGCCTTGCGCCTGCGGGAGACTGAGCCAGGGCTCCCTCAGACGCCGAAACCCCTGATGCTCAAGCCCCTTCTGCCAAGCCGTGTAGTGTGTGCACGTACATACTCCAGGCACATCCTCCAGTAGGCGTTACTCCTCCCTAGGCTGCTTATGACCCCTAATGCAACGTCAGTGTGATGTGAATAGTGGCCAGTGTGTGGCCAGTTCCAGTTGCTTTAGGGAATATTCTGGGATTTTGCGAAGGGGGTTACATATTTTTAATTCACAGATGGATGGATCCGTGGATGTGGAAATGGCAGAGTCGGATGGCCAAATGCACTCATTTTTATTAGCACAAGACAGCCTTTGAAAAGGTTTCTGTTCTTTTAAAAAAAACATTTTTATTGAGCTATAGTCATTTAACAATGTTGTGCCAAGTTCCAGGGTAGAGCACAGTTTTCCAGTTGTACATGAACATACATATATTCATTGTCACATTTTTTTTCGCTGTGAGCTACCACAAGATCTTGTATATATTTCCCTGTGCTACACAGTATAGTCTTGTTTATCTAGTCTACATATGCCTGTCAGTGTCTACAGATTTTGAAATCACACTCTGTCCCTTCCCACCTCCTCCCACTGGCAACCACAAGTTTGTATTCTATGTCTATGGGTCTGTTTCTGTTTTGTATTCATGTTCATTTGTCTTCTTTTCTTTTTTCTTTCTTTCTTTTTTTTTAGATTCCACATATGAGCAATCTCATATGGTATTTTTTTTTCTCTTTCTGACTTACTTCACTTAGAATGACATTCTCCGGGAG